AGCGCCGGGTCGCCGCCTCGAGTTGCGGTTCGGACTCGAAGTTGACGAAAGCGCAGTTGGAGCGGGAAATGAGGAAGATGGATGACACGCCCCCAGCCACTGACGTGGACTGCGCCGTCGACGACCCTGCTTCAGGAGGAGCATGGGGCGGTGAGAGGGGCTGGTTGAAAAATCGCCAGAGCTCGTCGTGTGTTGCATCCGAAGGAACGTTGCCCGCCCACATGACCCACTCGGATCTCTGAACAGGAGGATTCGGGTGGTATGAGCGCCTTGTGGGATGCCTCGCGACTTCGCTCGACACCGATTGTGCCGCGCTCGCCGGGTCATTGGCTGATGGAGGGTCGGAAATAGGGGATATACCGGGAGACGAGGGCGGTCGACGGTCTGGAGGGGCGCCTACCTGAGCACCGCTAGGACGTCCCAACTGCGACTGCTGCTGTCCGGGGGGCGTGGAACGGTGTCCTGGGACAGGAGATGGTCTGTCGGCATCCTGTTGCGCAGCGGGTCGGTATCCCATGTTGTAAGGCGAATGAAAGGATGGTTGCATATTGTCATACGAGGTCGAAGCAGGAGCCGCTCCATGCGGAGGCATATACCACCAAGTCCCTTGACCCTCCTGTTCCCCAGGCGAAGGAAACGATTGAGGGTAAGCCGCGGGAGCATATTGAGATGGGTACATTCGCGGACTAGTAGCATATGAAGGCGGAGAAGCGTAGGCATACTGATGCGGGTTTGAGTAGACCATGGGTGAGTAGGAAGGGGCACCAGGGTGTCCTGAATGGCCTTGAGCAGAGGACGCGGGAGGAGGGGAGGGGCTGGATAAAGTATACAACGGCGGGGGGCCCGGGTTTGTCGCAAACGGATGCTGAGGGGGAGAGCTTCCGTCAGGGGAATGATCCTGAAACCGGTATAATGGAGTATGGAGCATGGGCATCATAGACGTATTCGAATACGCCATGTGAGGAATATTGGGTTCCCGACCAGAAAGTCCAGGATGGGGAGGGTATGCAAACTGGGGAGGTGAATGCACAAGATTCATCGGCGGCTGGTGGGACATCGTGTATTGTGGTCCGACGAAGCTGCTACGATGCCTGAACGGCGGAGTGGACTGATAGATGGGTGAGGGACCCTGATAGCGAGACGGTGGACCGGACGGACTAGCATGGCTGTCCTGGGGGGAGGGTGTAGAGGGGTGATTACGAGAAGGCGCATGGAAGGGCTGCCGAACAGGCTGCTGACGACGCGTAGCGGTTGTCTGAGACTGGGAACGGTGACGAGACGGACCGGTTTGCCTCTCAGCGTCGGACGCCGAAGCTTGCGATTCTGACATAGTTAACACCTGGTTATCCTCCTGAGCATCACCGCCCATATAGTCCGTCAGTGCGGTCGTCTCGAAATTCGCGGAAGTTTCTGGAATGGAGGGCGCGATGGTTTGTGACGTCGGGGGGCGATGATCAAGATTATGAGAGACAGATACTAGCAGGGCGGAGGGTGGGAGATGAGCGAGGACAGGATGCTGGTTGGGAGGGGAAGGTACACGCACCAGGTTCGCGTCGCGAGAGGTCGACGGAACGGTAAAGATTGTCTAGGAAGAAAAATCAGAAAACGAACATGGCGTCAAAAGAGGGGCAGTAAGAAATTTATGGACAAGACACGACGTGCGTCTGCTCAGCGCGGGGCTACAGCACACACAGCGACGGCCGCCCTTGCGGTAAGAATGAAAAAAGCAGGAAATATCTCGGTGGCTGGGTTCCATACGGACTCCGCCGGCACCTGCCGTCCGAACCGTGTCGTGGGTAGTACGGCCTTGCCAGAGGACTCACCTAGATCTTTTCCTTTTGGTTTGGGCGCGCTCGACGTTTGATGGAACCCCACTTCCGGAAGGGCAATGTCCAAGGTGAGTGCCATTTGGAAGCGAGTATATAGCTAGGACCGGGCGGTGAGTTGGAGTCCAACATGTGGCGGATGGTGGAGACCCACTGGATGGGAGAAACGTGACAGAGAGTCGAGAATTCGCGGTTAGAAGACGCTGAGATCCGTCGCTGAGCTCCTTTTGGATACGAGCAGGTTGTACAGATGGCAAACAAGTGGTGTACGGCTAATGTGTGACGCCAGGTGTAAGGGGAGTGTTATGTAGCAGAGCAACTGCTGGCGTGACTGAGTGGACTCCATCGGAGGCTCCACCGTAGACGAGACTGCCCCTGACAAGAATTTAGGCGTACAACATAGTCACTAAGTCAAAACAGAGGAGCTCTCCTTTCCTCCCAAGCCACCCTTTGACGTCATCTCCGCGTTACTCATATTCTGACCTTCCCGTCTCCGCAAACCACCCGGCCGCTGCGTAACCCGTAGCCTTCGCAGCCAGTTCCTGGAAGCTCTCCAGCCCCCCGTAATCCCATCTTCGTTCATGCAGTGAGATCCTACCTTAGATCCGCTATATCCGCGCTCCAGCACACTCGATCAATCTGACCATCGCGTGTCCCGTCTGCATCACACTGGCGGCTTGACGATGCCTTGACTCAATTTGTAGTACACCGTCGACGCGTCGTCCGACGAGATGGCCACGTAAAGTTCGGGTGGGTTGCCAAATCCCTCAAATGCGTCCTGCAACCTGCACAGCGTCAACGTCGGCTATCCGTGCAAGCTGACCAAATTGTAAGGACTAACCAGGACATTGAGATCATCTCAGCAAGAGAACATGGTACGACACAAGACACTGCAATCTGGTCGCAATCTGTCAATCACACGACACGGCGTCTCCAAATTGGATCTATTCACCGTCTCCGGTCTGAAACCTCGGAACCCACACCTGCCGCAAGAAGGCAGTTCCACAACTTCGAGGTCGCTCCAACGCTGTGCTGCGGAGCCGTGAACATGGGCGAATGAGGCGGTCAGGGCCAATTAACAAAAAAAAATTGCTGAAGGCCTAACCAACCAACGCTCACCTAAAAGTAGATCATTGTATGTTTGGTATACAGCGCCAGCAGCGTTGGAGTATTTTGTCAGGTACGGCGCGAGGACCGCGTACTGCAAACGGTTGACGTCTGCCACACTGCCATTGAAAGAAAACTCACTGTTGGGTGGGTCTCCATGATCCGGATGCCGTGTAGATAGCAGGGCTAGACCTTTGAGAAGCAGCCGAGAGGTTGCAATGTTGAAGAACGTAAACGAAGGCGTTTGCTTCACGAGTTGTGGTTGTATTGACCGTGGGAATTGCCTTCTTGGACAAGAAATGGCCACTCCACGCGCGCTAAGATTCGAGGGTACGAGTCAGATGGGTCGGATACCGTAACCCCCTTCGAGCACTGTTCGCTTTGGAGTCTTATACTAGTGGAGAAGTCCCCAAAAGCTATCGTCTCGGGCAAGTCTTCTCATCTTCCATCTGTCTATAGGACTCGCTTATTGCAGGACGCAATCATAAGGCAAATAACTCGTTCATTCAATATTGATACAGGGCGTATACAGGCTTTTTTCCTCGTCAACTATCGTACAGCACTACCTTCGTTCAACGATCAAGGTTCTTTCTTGAGCCGCCGGGAAGTACAAGGCGCTCGCTCTCGTCAAATTCAGAAGTCAGCATCGCCCCGCTACACACGGGTGGAGCATCAGGACATCTGCGGCGGTGGAAGGACACTCGACATCATACCTTGCGTTGTTCGCCCCGCTGCGCCATGCTAGAGTCGCCCTTGCTCTTTCCGACGAGCTTCTCAGCAGTGCCTATGAGTAAATCAGTCTCGTGATTCTCGCTGCGACATGGGCGCAGATGAACTCACCCTTGACCTTCTCCGTCAGGGAAGGCTTCTGGTTGCCGCTCTGATCATCGCGGCCCCACTCCTGCTGCTGCTGCTGTTGATGCTGGTGCTGGTGCTGGCCACGGCGTTCGTCATAGCCACGCTGGCCCTGCCAGTTCTGGCCGCGATCGTACTGGCTCTCATCACGAGCGTACTGGTCGTCGATGGGGTCGCTGCCATAGTCTATGCAAAGTCACGTGAAGTCAGTGAGGTTCAGAAGTCAACGCGTCTGCAGCGACGAACCTTGGTTGAGGCCAGGCTGGCTCTGACGCCCCCGGCTGTCTGAATCCCATTGACCCTGGTCAAAGCCCTGCTGGCCTTGGTTGCCGGAGTCCCACTGGCCCTGTTGGCCTTGACCGAGGCCGGCGTTCAAGTTCCTTTCGTCGTCGTCGAAGGCCTGGCTGCCTGCGGTGCGATTCAAGCCGGAGCGCTGGAAGTCCTGGTCGCTAGACTGATTGTACGACATGGTGTCGGGGAGTAGATGAAATGAGGTGAAGTTCAAAGATGAGAGGTAAGCGTGATTGAGAGGAGAGATTCTGGATACGGCGAGGTTCTGGCTGCTACTCGGTCGTCTGCCCCACTCTTAAAAGCTTGAGGCTCGCAATTGCGCACCGATGACGAGCTCTCTATTGCAATGGTGCTCCCCGCTGCGGATACGAACGTGGGATGACGAGGATTGACGTCGCCGGTGGCATCTGACATATGGGGCCTCAAACCTTAGGGGCACTCGGGCGGTTGGAGTCGCTCGTGGACAGCCTGCTCCAGTACTTCTCGGATAACATCCGAGCTCGCCGTCGCAACCGTTGAACTTCGTATCGACTTTCCAGTCGCCTCTATCTTGGTTAGCGATCCCAGCGAGCTGCTATGTCGTCCAGCAGGGGTACTAAAAATCCCTCCAACGAGCTAGTGTATTTCCAACCACCTACCTACCAAGTAGTCGATGGTCCGCCTGGTCGCAAGCAATCGAGGGTCCGCGGTTGAATGGTGCCTTCATTATCAGGGGTCCTCCGTGCGGCTGGCGAGTACCGCATGCATCTCGGAGCCGCAGGACGACCCCAGAGAATGGAAAGTATCATTACCCGAAGCCGATGCAACTCTATTTCGTTCTCGAATAATCAAGGATCACCATGATGTCAGTTCGTACTACCGCTGGTATACCCAAGAGAAATTATTTGCGTATATTACGACTGCAGGGGGCCCCATTACATCGCATTAATGGGGTAGTGGTAACCTGGGTCGTTGCCATCGTCAATCCGTTTGGAAAGTCGACCCGCCGGGGGTTCGATTCCCCCGTAATGCATTACTGTCGCGGGTTCATTATTTTCTTCCATTCTGCAGTATGGGCATGCAGCTGATAAAAGACTTTTGTCACAGAGACATACACAACTGAGTCTTAGTCTGCAGTATGATCACTCCACATCTGAAGTTACAGTAGCATTTATTCAACCCGCTGGTGGCCTTTGGGAATAATCAGCCACAACAGAGTCATCGACACCATCATCGAAATCAACCTGGGTGAACAAGCTCAGAGCTCGCGATAAGTGGCAGACATCATGAATAAAAACGTACAGCGGCTGCAGACTCCAAATTCCCTTTTCTTGCGCTAGCTGCCCAGCTATGAACGGCAACGCCGCAGCACCCGTCGTCCCGACACCTGCAATCCAACCGATGGAACCGCTGAGGAGCCAGCCGGGGAGAATGTGACTGGCTTCGTTGACAACGATGGGGTAGATGGGCCCGATGAGCAGGCCGACGAGGGAGATGGCAATGGCTCCGGAGATGAGCGATGGTACGAGCCAGACGATTAGTTCGAGACTTCGTCGTGTGCGGCGCGTGTAAGGTTGGTAGTAAAAGTGGAGGACGACGTCGGCACGTACCCTGTAGCGATGACAATATAGAGGAATACAGCTAGGCGGTTGCCGAGCTATGCGTGCATATTGAGAGAAGAGAGAGGATACGTTGGAACACAAGATGCTCACCTTCTTGTTGACCCACAACAAGCCGATACGGCCGAGTGCAAGACCTGATCAGTGGCTGAGTATCGAATACGACTAGGACTTGACATTGATTTACCTCCAAAGAAGCCGGAGGATATATATCCAGAGGAAGATCCGCCTCCTCTGACCTTGATGATATATGACACGATCCAACCTAGAAAAATACAGGATTGACGTTCGCGGCTTCACACAGCTTCAGCATGGCAATTACCTCCGATCGTGACTTCGACGCCCATGTACATAAGCATGAACAAGGCTATCAAGTGCACGGCTTTCAGACGCAAAATCTGCTTGTACACGTTGTCTTTGCTCTGACCCCGCTCGGCGACTTCTTCGCCGACCTCTCGTAGACAATCTGTGAGTCAAATTAGCCAGAAAACGGCGTTGAACCAGAACTTGACGGACCGTCTTGCGTTTTCAAACGGAACACCGCCAGAAGCGTGCAGGTGTTCATGCATGCGACGCCGAGCGAGACGAGATAGTGGAAGGACCAGCGCGGGAGCTGCGCGAATTGTGTGGATACAAGTGGAGCAGCCAGGGCACCCGTACCTTCAGGGATTAAGAATCAGCGGTCGTGGTGCCGTTGATGGAGAATTCCCACCGTATGCACAATGGACCAAGCCAAGCTTTGAAGAGGAAACTTTGAAGCTAGCTACATACCCATTCGCTTGGGCGCACTGCGTGCATCGTCAGCTGTTATTGTATGGCTCGAGAGAAAGCAGCATACCTGGAGGGATTCAGCAAATCCGTTGAGAAAGAACGCAATCACGAAGGCTGGAAATGGGGGTCCCGGAGCCTGGATGCAATATCCAACGATCTGAATGAGGGATCCTAGACGATCTGCTTCAGTACGCGGCTGGGAAAACTTCAGTGAATATGTGCGACCTATGACCATAGCCTAGTGTTCGCCCGATGAGGGTTGTGTCGTCCAAAATCCAACAGCTCGCGACGCACCTTTCCGAATCCGAAATGCCCCACGAAGTAGACACTTGCCACACCTCCCAAGATAAAGCCCTGGAGATGGTGTCAAGATTCATTCGTCGTAGATGACCTAAAGTGACTAACCAGACTGCTGGACAGGAAAAGCAAGGACACGATCCCGTAGCTAACCTGGATCGGCCAATATCAGCGTCACAGCGATAAATAGCGGAAAGGAATGTCTGACGTGGTACACTTGCTGAATGCGCGGTAGTAAGGGACCCGTCGAACCGTCGTTCCACCCTGCAAGGAACAGAGACAAGCATATCGCCGCCATCTGGACGTAAGGGGATTTTCGTGGACCGCCGTCGGGGGTGTCGCGCGCCTCTACATCTGTTGGTGCAGTAACAGGTGAAGGTTTGGAACTATATTCCAGTCGCGTGAGCTCGATAATCGTGTCGTTGCCCTCCGTCGCTCTTGGCTCCGGGCCTGTGTTGGTCTGCGAGGGCCTGCTTTTCACTGAGATGTCGTCTTCCAATATCGGAGGGACTGGCTCGTGAGGCTGAGGGATAATGGGATCAGTCATGGTGGGTTAAGGGGTCCGTGCACCGTGTGCGACCGTTTGACGCAGAGTTGACAAACGCGGGGGCTCACCGAGAGGCTTATTTAACGACCAGGGCGATTGATTTAGCTCTGAAGCCTGAGAGCCGAGACAAAATCATGGGTCGGATATACGTAAAACCGTACGCATTACGCCATGCGCAGAGAACTGGTGACTAGAGTCAAGGACGTTTGCGTTACTGAAACGGTCAATAGAAATGTCAGCGGAGAAACCTCGGAGAAATAGCCTCAGCCTCATAAGCGTAAAACCAGAGTCAAAAAGTATGTGTGCGTTGAGCACGGCGTAGAGAAAACGCCACATGAGGGCATAGACTGATATCCGACGACTCATGGAGATAAGCCTCGGCACTACGCCTCGGGAAGAGGGCAAAAACCGTGTCATAAACGCAAACATAGCCAAAAACAGGCAGTATGATCACTTCCAGACGTCTTTCGAGACTTTGACCAGAAGCTCCAACTTCGCCCTCATAGTCTGCAAGGTGGTGAGTCTGCGTCAGAGTATCACCGGGTACATATGACGTACCGCTTCAGTGACGTGACTATTACCGTCCCAATTGGCTGCAAAGCCACATTGCGGGCTGATGCAAATCCTATAGACGATCCATGAACGTGGGCATGTTAAATTGGGGATTGGAGCGCACTGGTCAAGGACCTCTTCGCACGTTCGGTTTTGGCCTCGGGCGATGACGTGCGCTGCTTGGTGGATTTTATTCTCGATGACGTCTGGATCATCGATCTGGGGTAGGGCGGAGGCCTCGTCAGTCACCGCCCAAAGAACATCCTGTGGGCGAACCTTTGGTTGTTTCGAGTTAATGAGACCTAACACAACGGTCTTGTTTCGCGGCAGGAAACGCAGAGGCTCGAAAGACCCCGTGTGCTCTTGATCGTACTGTGGACTTGCCTTCAACATGACGGTAAGATTGCGGGATGCTAGAAATACGTACATAGAAACAGTCCACATCAAGTTCGTTAAACAGCCTGCCAACGATGGTCTCATACGCATCGTGGGCGAAATGATGCCCGTCCTGAACGTCAGTGAGCCAGAGGAAATTGCTCGAAGCGGAACTATTCATACCTTCTTACTTTCAGCGCACAAGTGCAAAGCGATACACATATCCCTTGGCCTTTCTTCGAGGCACCCATTCAAAAGATGGATGAGTTCCGTAAGCTCCTCGTCGACGTCGACTCCTATGGCGTTCATGCGGAACACGGTTCCTGCATCGGCAAGAGTCGTGAGGCAGGGGTCGTCAAGTTGGATGAAACCTAGCATTCGTTTATTCTTGACCGTGATTCAAAGACTGATAATTGCATAACGTACGACACCCCTGCGCGTACAGATCTGCAATTTCTTCCTGATACACCGTCTTCAGATCATCAAAATACTGCTCTGAATTTGTAGGAATTAGATGTCAGTATGAGCGCTGAACCATGGAGGATGGCGAGGAAAGACAAACTGATGTTTCCATAAACTCCCTCCTCGTATGTGTGCTCGCGATGTGCCATGTACAGAACCTCTGGGGCGCACATAGTCAACTTCAGACGAGGAATTTCCTGTACATGCGGCGAAATACTCGTAAGAAATGTGACGACTCATAGGTGTACTGATGTCACCTCAGCCGTCGCAAACTTCTTGAGGCCTTCGAATTGTGGTCCATACAATGATCTCGTGCGTCTGAGCTTCGCCTGTGAGATCCCAATCAGTGGGTGGGACCGAAAGTATGAAGCGTGCATTTACCGTACATATCCAGGTAGGGGCGGGCTCGGCCTTCCTGCTGGAGCCCAGTTGCTAGCCGGCGAGAGCTTGTTGAGAACTGAGAAGGGTGTGCGTATGATGATCCGAAGGCTCACCGAGAACTTCTCTGGCGGACCTGTTCAACATCAACAGACTGACGATAGACACGATGTCCGAGAGAGCACTCACATTCCGGAACGTAAGTCATACCCTCCAGCCGACCCCAGAAGTCGTCACAAAATGTGCGACTGCGAGACTTCTCAGTCAGCCAAAGTACATGGTCGCCAACAAAGATGAAACGACGGTCACAGCAACGTACCGACGAAATTCCCCGTCAGTGATCGTCCGAATCCCCACTTCTCTCTGCATCTCCACCACGTCCTTGATCGCACTGTCTTCGCAGACCTCCAATCCTTCAGCTGGACAACCTACAGCATCGTATACGAAACGTTTCTTGACAAGTTTGTCGGGGCGCCGCAGAGAACCGAGATGTTCTGCACGAAAAGGTGGGGACGTTCGTTGCTTCGGCATGGTTCTTCGATGACGACGAGGATCGAGAAATTCGATACTCACAGGCAAAAGTAGGGCGATATATACGTAGACCGTGCTCTGCGCGGTAGTCCCATGACCACTGATCTTGCCAGGAGCCGAGCTGGAAGAGGGGCTACTATGACTGCGTGAACTTACTCAGCTGGTGACGACTCATGGAGACGATGACAACACGCGGCGAGCATTGTAGTGCGAGAAACAGGTTGGCTTGAGGGCAACTACTTTGGTGAAAGCACCCAGAGACTAGTGTTGGCAACGACTCATTGAATACCTCGCAGCGGCAATTGTGTTGGCGCCTTGCGCTACGATCCTGCCTTATATGGCAACTCTCTTGCCTAAATGGGCATGATATAACCGTGACTGAACATGCGGCCTCATTGGCCGCTTCTATTCCCAGTGCATGCACACTAGGGCGTTCAACTTTTGTTTTCTTACGAGCCATCGACCTCCTTCCTTCACGATTCGCTCGATCGTTCTACCTTC